CTTTGGTGAAGGTCAAGGTCAGCTGCTACCTGTGCCCAGCCTGCGGCCATCTAGTAGTAGCTACGAAGTGACCTGCAGTTAGTAGCTGCCTGTGCTGGGCCTAGAAGCACGTGGCAGTGGCCACACTGTGAACTCAGTCCAGATGCCAACAGTTCCGTGCTCGATTTGGGTGGGTCAGTGTATCTGGGAATCACCAGGGTGGGGTGAGCGCTGTTCACCAGGTTATTGCAGATTCAGATTTGGCGCCTGCCTATGCCTGGGGGCTGTGTGTGGGAGGTGCTCAACACATGAAAAATGTCAGCCTCCCCCTCAGCCTTCACCCTGAAGCCACACAATTCAGTTTCTCCCCATATGGCATTGGCACCTTTCAAGCTACTATCCCTTCACTGAAGCTAGGATGAGTATTTGTGAGCAAGTGAATCTGTATGTGGGCCCTTTAAGAGGACATCTGGGCTTCCAGCAGCTCTCTGTGTCACTTGAGTAGAATCCCTTCTGATTTTCATATCATTCTGATTTTTTCCCCGAGATATTGTGGGGGCTCCTCTTCCCGGTAATAGGGCCTTGGGCTGGGGAACCCAGTATGGGGCTGGGATCCTTTTCTTTTCAGGGGAGACCTCCACAACTGAGCTATCTCTTCCAATTCTCAACCACCACATGTGGGTATGGGACTAGCCATTTTATGTCTTTGCCCCTCCTACCATTCTCACTTTGCTTCTTCTTTATATCCTTAGTTATGGGAGTTCTATTCATCTAGTGTTCAACTGGTTCTCCAGGTGATATTCTATAATTTAGTTGTAATTTTGATGTGGTTGTGGGAGGAGGTGAGCACAGCATTTTTCCACTCTGCCATCTTGACTGGAAGTCATAAATTAAAATTTATCATAGCTATGAATGTACAGTAAAAAAATGTAGTATATTTAGGGTTCAGTACTATCTGTAGTTTCAAACATCCACTGAGAGTCTTGGGCCATATCCTCTTCAAATAAGGGGAGACTACTGTATGTAAATACCTATTATAAAGTTTTATTAATAAATTAGACACAGTAAGGGATTAATGACAATAACTAATAATAAAATAGAAAATGATAACAATAAAATAAGGGTTACTTCAACATAAGAACAGTGCTACAAGGACAGTCTGTTTGATAAATGATAGATGAGTAGCACATACGGCATGGATACACTGAATCAAAGGATGATTCATTTCATAGGCAGAACAGAGCTGGATGGCACAAGGTTTTGTCATGTTATTCAGATTGGCGCAGAGTTTAAAACTCATCAATTATTTTTTTTCTGGAATTTTCCATTTAATATTTTCAGGCTATAATTGACTGCATGTAACTGAAACCGTGGAAAATGAACCCTTGGATTAGGAGGAAATACTATATCTTGCATCCCACACTTTGGGAAATGCTGCATTTCACATTGTTTTTTACCTTGAGATTGCCAAGGGAAAACCAACAAGTTACAGGGATTCTAAGACATAGTGTAAGGGTTGGCAAACTTGTGCCAAATCTGGCTTGCTGCATGTTTTTGTAAATTATATGAGCTAAGATAAGATTGCCTTTTAAATAGTTGGAAAAAATTAAAAGAGGAAGAATATTTTAGGAAATGAGAAAATTATATGAAATTCAAATTTCAGCATTCACAAATAAAGTCTTATTGGGACACAGAGCCAACCATTCATTTATGTATTTTGTGGCTGCTTTCAATTTGCAGTTGCAGAAATGAGTAGCTGTGACAGACCATATAGCCCACAAAGCCTAAAATATTTACTGTCTAGCCCTTTACAGAAAGTTTGCTGACCCCTGACATAAAGCATGTAAACTTTATTCAAGGATTTTTCTTAAGGATCTAGGAAACCTTATGTATTCATGAACTGGCTTTGGCAGGTGTGAGGTAGGGAATGAGTCCTGCAACATAACAACACATTTTTGCCTGTATGAAAATGTATATTTTGCTAAGTGGAACTCCAGAGAATTCCAACTCTGGAATTCCCAGAATTGTCTTCTGTGCCCAGAAAGAGTTTCACATGCCTATAAATTAACATCTCTTCTACATTTCCAGCTGTTGGTTTTTAAAGGCCTAGTGATTTAATTACATAGGAAATTTGTTTTGTACTTAGTGATATCATCTACCAGTGACTTCAAATAGTGACTTCTGGGACAAACCCATTCAAGAGTACAGATGGAAGTTAAATAATTATGCAGCAGATATGTGTATATCTTGGGTTTCATCTATGATCTGTCAACTCTGGTTTAGAACTGAGCAACTGTGGCTCTTGAGTTACAGTGCATCTTGTTTGTTTTCTGGGAGATCAGAACAAGGGTCAAATAACTGTTTCATAAATGACCCTGCCTGATATACTCAATGATGTTCTTCATTTGGGCCTAAAAAGACATTTTTCATTCAAGCATTTCAATCAAGAATATCACTAACCCCATCCTGAAATGTGAGTAAATGTAGAGAAAGTCCATCATGAAAGATATATTTCCCAGCTCTCCACAGTGCTGTGCACCATAGTGTAATGGGGTCAGGGCTTGGCTATGGGGATTGGCAGACCTGGATTCAAGTCCAAATTTTGTCATTTTTTGATGATTAGTCATTAAATTTGTACTCCTCTCTTACTGGGCCTCAGTTTCCTCATCTATGAAACAAAGACAATATTAGCTACCTCATAAAATTGTTGTGAGAATTCAAAAAGCAATGCTCTTTAAGCTTTTAGTACTACAGTACCTGATATGTGGTTGTATTCAACAATTAGAAATTCTTTAGATGATAACAGTTCCCCCCTTATCTCTTTTCCTACCTTACTTATATTTTATCTCTTGCTCTCTCTTCCTCTTTTTCTTTCTATAGATATTTTTTCTCTCTCTCACTATATTTCTCTCCCTTCATATTTCTCTTTGAAAATATTCTCTCTGTCCCTTTCCCTTCTTCCTCCCTCTCCTACCTCTCCCTCGCCATCTCTCTCCAACATTTTCTCTCTCTCTTTCTCTCTCTCTCTTCCCCCTCTCTTTCACACACACATACACACACGCATGCACACACACACACTAATCCTGTGTCTATGTGTTTGTGTGAAGGAGAAAGTACACTCTTCTTTCATCATGATCCAAGGAAAGTCATCTATCAGATAGGCATTCTTTCAGTAATTCTTTCAACAGTCATCTAAGAAGAACCTGTTTTATGCAGGAACAATTCTAGATTCTAGGGAAGTCAGAATTTAACAAAACTGACTAAGCTCAGTCCTTATGAAGCATCTATTCTGAGTAGGTTAAGCCAGACAGTACTCACATGAACAAATAAATAAAAATGTATCAGATAGTGGGAGATGTTAAAAGGGAACCAGAGCAGGGTGATGGGCCAGGTCACAAGACTACTCTAAGCATTGATAACCTAGGGTCCTCAGGGTGGCCTCTACAAGCCTGAGACTTATTAGATTGAGGCAGCCATGGGGAAATCTGGAGGAAGATACTGCTAAGTAGAAGGAATAACCTGGGGAAAGTCCCCAGTGCAGGAATGAGTTTGGCATGCCTGAAGGACAAGGAAGAAGCTATGGGGAGCAGAATGATGAGGCAAGGAGAAAGAGGAGATGAGCTAGAGAGTGCTAGGTCACATGGAGCCTTTAGGGCAAGAGAGGAGTTGGACTATTCTAATTGCAATGAGAAGCCCGTGCAGAAAAACGATATGCTCTAATTTACGCTTTAAAAATATCGACTTGGTAACTTGGTAGAAGGGGTGCAAAAGTGAAAACACAAAGACTCTTTAATGAAACTATTGAAGCCATGTAGATGAGTGCTAGGGCTGGCATGCATTTGTATGATAGCAGGAAGATGGGAAGAAGTAGCCATGTCCGGGACATGTTGTCATTACAGAGTTTACAACACTTGCTGATGGATTAGATGAGAGATGTAGGGGAAAAGAGGACTCAAGGATGAACTCCACAGTTTTGACCTTTTTTATTTCTGTCACTGGGGATACAGTGATGAAAAGGAGTTTATCTATGGTCTAGACTGTACTATGAAAGAAAAAATGTACCAAACATAGTCTTGGGCAGAATATTTTGCATTACATAATGCAAAATCTCCTTCTGAGAAGAAATTTCCATATCTGATAAACATGCTTAAGTAATATTTCTGATGAACTTTAAAAGGATTAAGACTTGTTCTAGGAAACCAGACACCCACTCATTCTGCTGTCAAGCAAGAGTATACTGACCTTTCACCATGCTTTTCTTTCTTTCTTTTTTTCTTCTAGCCCTTTTTTACAAATTGTCCTTGCCAACAATGAATCTTTGATTTGAACTACTAAAGGCCTTTTCCTTTTCAACAAGATTGCAATAAAACTTAGACACATGCTCATAACTAAGTGGTCTGAAAGTTTATTTTGGAAAATACTGCTCATGGACACATTCTATGCGAAAACGAGAATATTAAGTGAGGGAAAAAACAACACCTAGTATTTGGTATCTGAATTATTAAAATAAAGTTCATTGCTAATAAATCTTAGTAGTAATTGCTAAACTCCAGAATTCCTGAGATTACCATAGACATACTCTAAAGTTTAACTAAGATTGCTAGAAATGCAACAACTATGAAAAATTTAGTGTTTTATTATAGTAGACTTCAAGTACCTATTTAGGTCTTGCTTCTATTCATCAAGAATATATGTAAAGACCATATTATTTTTAGAGATATACTTTGCTTTTAGATTTTCAGAGCCTTAAGGACCCGAATAAATTATCCTTTTTTGTTTTTTTAGAGATAAAGAAGCTGAGGCTGAGAATGGGTTAATAATTTTCTGATGTTGCACAGGTTTGAATTCAGGATTTGAACCTTGATCCTCAGAGGTCCTTTTCACTGTGTATATACAAACCCATGCCTGAATATTTATAGTAATTCCCTGTTTCATTTGTTAGTAAAAGATATTTGCTTTTTAAATGAAATTTCAATAACTAAAATAAACTTTTTCTTTCTTTTTAAAAAATTATCTTTCAGTTTCCCTTTCAAGACAATCTCTTTCAATCCATGTATTACCCTCTTCAACTGAAGTTTTTGGAAACTGTGCATACTTTATGTGGACGAATCTCACAAGTTTTTCTGAAACAAATAGAGAAAACAATGAAAAGGGCTTATGAGAAACATGTCATCATCCATGTCGGCCCCAACCAGATGCACTGAATGTTTTGTATTGTTGCAAGTCAATTAGGCACCTCATGAATGAGGAAATAGTCATCTGTAAGCTGCCTGGATCTTTTTTGTATAAATATTTAATGGTGCTCCATGACAAATGAGTTTTAAAAGTCTTGTTAAATGTTGCTGAATTCGTTGCTCCTAAAAGGAAAGATGCTTTATTTTTTTTTTCTAAAATGCTGTTTATCTTTCTGTTTTTCTTTTTTTAATATTATTACTCATTTAACATTGTCCAAGCAGGTTGAACTAGCTGTGAAAAGAAACTTTTGTCAACCTTCCAATTCCTGTTAAGTGTCTGAGACAATATTAGTGGCATCTAAGGTGGTATATTCATCCTGTATTCCTGAGACTCTTTCTATACAATTGACTCCCCCACACCTTTGTAATAAAAGTAATACATGCTTATTGTAAAACAAATAAAACAAATTTTAAGAAGTTATAGAGAATATAGTTCAGTGAACCAAAATCAAGATTAGATTAGCCATAATCCTACCAACCAGTGAAAAAGATTGTTATTTTAATGTAGGTCCTTCCAGCTTCTTTTTTTCTCTTATTTCTATATTTACTTGCTGGTTCTCTTTTCCATTGTAACACATATCTAAAATGGGCAGTCTGAATAAAAGCTGGCCCCTATGCTAAGATTTTTATGTGGAAGACTAAAAAGTTAAACAAAAATGATAATGTTTATAGTGCTATATTTAAAATACATATGGGAGAAACGTTCAGTTTTAGATAACTGGGCAGTGTTAAAAGATAAAGCATATCTGGGGGCGTTTTCTTAAGAAAACTTATTTGATTTGTAGAAAACTAAATCATAAGAAATGTCTGTGCAACCATAGCTTTGAAAGAAAATTGAATAATTGTCCTAAACCTAAGAGACCTATTTAGCAAAGAGATGTGATTTTGTGTTTGCCCATAGGCAAAAACATTTTATCTCTTACATCATCAGTAGGTGTGGCCTCCTTCCTTTTTTAAACTCCTGGGCAACAATTAGAAATTAAAGGCTAACTTTGAATTTAATGTGTATGAGAACCAGGCAGGTCTTATCACCTAGCTACAGGAGAGGAAGTTTTATATTCTGTTCCCCAAAGGGATCTGACTTGATCCCTAGTTACTTACATAGCTGGTACCAGCATAAGGGAATTTTGCGTAATGCTTTATTTCTCCAAAAAAAAAACCTTGTGCATAAATGATCTCTTTAATGTTTGCAACAGCCAGATGAACTTAGTAAGAGCCTATATCATCTCCACTGGGCGAATAAGTAAATTATAACACAAACAAACATACCCAATATAATTGCTATTCTATAAGACATACAGGTAAGTAGAAGATATATCCTGTTTAACAGAGAAATATTTGAAAACAAAAAATATTAGATGCTTTTCATTATATATAGACAGCAATCTGGAACTATAAAAAGAAAAAGATTATTTTGTTAATGTAAACA